CGTGCCGGGATTTGAACCCCGGATATCTGACATGCGAGGCGACCGTGTAACCACTACTCCACCCACACATGTTGGGTTCATCCGAATTTTCACGTCCGAACAGACGAACGTGTTCACGTTTGAGGGATGTGATTGGTGTGCCCGACGCATCGAACGACGACCCATTAACTATCCTGGTTGTGACGATCGATTGACCCGCCAATCAGGACTTCCCAGTCAAGTAGCGCGGCACACGCTTGAAACCCACTGGGCAGATTTTTGGTTACAATTTTGGGGTTTTGCGGGACAGGTATTTTTGTTATGGGTCGTCGTTCGATGAGTCGGGCACACCAGTCACATCGCTAAAGTGTGAACACGTTCGCCTTTTCAGACGTCCTAATTCAGATGCGTCCACCGTGCGTGGGTGGAGTAGTGGTTACACGGTCGCCTCGCATGCCAGATGTCCGGGGTTCAAATCCCGACACGACCATTGGAAATGCACTGCTGATGAGCTCTAATAAGAGCGAAACTCGAGTACAGTGCTTCCCTCTGGTGTAGACTCACCGGAATAATTACGCCAGAACAGGAACACGGCCGTTCAAACGAGAGTGGCGTGGCTACGAGCAAAAATGATGGTAACCGTTTAACTGCGGTACTCTTTCGGTGCGATGTCATGCCCCCCCCCCTCCCGAGGGAAACACGAGGGCTGAGGTATTGCCAGGTTGTCCAAGCCTTGAGAGGAACAGTCGAAATGCTGGGATTGGGTTCGATCTTGGAATCTTTCGATCAGCAACTTCGCACTCAACCACTGACTTATCTCGAGCTCGATATCTACTGGAGGCTATGGAGGTGCCTTACAAAATGCTCACTAGAGGTACCGGTGCTTGACTACATCAAGTTCTATTGCAAATCGAAGCTGCCGAATTGGGTGATCACACGCACTCGGGGCTGTTTCTGCGACAGGTAAGGATCGACACTGGTAAACTCCTTGAAGCAATCTGTGTAGGGTTGCGTAACCTGGCTGTCGTTCAGTCCTCATGTCTCTGGGTTGCATTGCAACTATGCCCCCAGAGAGCGTCAAAGCTGAAATTATACTTACTACACACAACTTAGAAAGTTGAGTATTGCGTGAAAAGTCGAAGAAAGTGAACCTCACCATGGTATTGAGTATTGCGTGAAAAGTCGAAGAAAGTAAATCTCACTGTTAGTGCAGCTGTGACCCACTCAGTCATGGTGAGAGTGTGTGTGTGACATCCGCGGTCTCTCATACAGGGCTGGTCAACGTTGCGGGGTGTGACTGACAATCACCTGGTCCTCCAGGTTGATA